GACCCTATTCAAGCCCAGATTAATGGTGTTAAATTTGCAAATCCAGTTTTCTGGATAGTTTAAAATCCCATGCACTCTTGAGAGACTTGTTGCACAAACATTCATCTCTGGGCTTGGGAAATGATATTCCTGGCCTACTTTCTTCAGTACATTTCTTTTCTAACTAGGCACTTTTTTTAACCTAAAGAAATTTTTAAAAGAGCAATTTTTTAAATTGTTCTGCATGGGACATACCCGTGAAAATCATACATGTCCCATGAATTTCTGGCAGAGTGGCAATTCTAAGAATACTGCCACTATTTTGAGAGACACCTGCAGCTGAATATTACAGATATTTGGAACTGGGTCTGGTCACAGAGTCAGAGCCATAGTCCATTTCAACTGGGTTTGGTTCAGGTTTTTCTTGTCTTCATTCCAAGTGACTTCACGGACTCTACAGGTGGGAGATTGTGATTCTAAAGCAAACTTCCTTGGCCGAGATAGTAACCCATATTGTCAGGAACTGTCACAAGTAGGTCCTGAATTGGATTTCTATGTCCAATTAGAATTAGTTCCATCTCATTAGTATATTGAGGGCTTCTGGAAAGATGGCAGAATAGAATTGTCTAAAAATGGCTTGTGAACTGAGGATCCTAGTTACCTGTACTGCATGAGTCACTGAAATCTTTCCTCTCCTGCTATTTCCAGGGAGAATCAGCAGCGGTTGCAAGATGACTTAGCAGGGATGATAACAGAGTCTCTGGAGAAAAGGCAATCTGAAGGGGTCCTGGTGCGTGAGCCTTCCCGGGTGGCGAGCTACCGAAAAGGCACCCTAGAGTACCTGCAGTTGGCCACCACAGAAAACTCCGGCACCCATCTGTAAAACTAGATGTCTAGTGTGACATAAAAACCATGTACAGGCTACAGAAGATACTACATGGAGGCTGGAGACTTGCATTCTCAGGGAGAGCTGCGGGGAAAACAAGACTGTTCTCTCTTTGGGAAATGTCTCTACCACTTGGCTTTTTAATCAGTGAATCAGATAAACCCTTTGCTGTGGTGCCAAAATGTAGTTGCCTCTATGCTTGCTGCATCTTCCCAATCACCTGATTGCTTCACCCAGGCACATCCACCCTGATTTGGGGAAAGAGAAAATATTGTCTAATATTTTTAAAATGTGATCAGCTGTTCAGTGACCCATTTCCCAAAGTCTTCTCTGTAGAGTCTTCATTTATAGTGATTTTAAACTTAGTGTTTTAACTTGTTGTTATACTAAACAGAGATTCTTCCTTAGCTCAAGTGGCAATGGACTATGTTTTTGGAGATAAATATTATGGGTTCCATCCTCGATGCCTTTCATGTACAGGTTAGCACAGACCCCATATTTGCAGCCACCAATGTATTACATTTACAGTCCATGAATGCAGTTTTTATTAGACGTTTCCTCTCCTGCATGGTTGGGGTCATTAATTCCTGCATAAGTCCTTTTATTTAAATAGTTACACCACGGATGAATCAGTTGGCATGTGTTATTGTTTGTCTCCTGTCCACATATTCCAGTCCTGTGCATTTCCTTTCTACCTATAGCATGGCAAATTCATATTCATTTACCCTCACTTAAAAATATGTATTCTGTTTCTAATTTGAATTTATTTAGCTTCAACTTCCAGCCACTGGATCTTGTTATGTCTTTGTCAGCTAGATCAAAGTGCCCTCTACTATCAGAAATCTTCTCCCCTTCTGCTATTTCAATCCCAAATTGTTCCTGCTTGTTTTAAAAACAAACTGCAAGGCATTGCATTCCAAATGGCTTAGTGAGACATACTTCTGCCCCCAACTGGAGAAGATTTTGGTTGCACCTTTCACTTGCTCATTTGAAGTCATCTCACCAAATACAACCTACAGCTGTCTTTGATCAGAGTATCAGAGTGGTAGCCGTGTTAGTCTGGATCTGTAAAAGCAGCAAAGAGTCCTGTGGCACCTTATAGACTAACAGATGTATTGGAGCATGAGCTTTCATGGGTGAATATCCACCCACATGCATCCAATGAAGTGGGTATTCACCCACGAAAGCTCATGCTCCAATACATCTGTTAGTCTATAACAGGGGTCGGCAACGTTTGGCATGCGGCTCGCCAGGGTGCTTACTCTGGCGAGCCGCGTGCCAGACGTTGCCAACCCCGGTCTATAAGGTGCCACAGGCTCTTTGCTGCTTTTACAGAGCCAGACTAACATGGCTACCCCCTGATACTTAATATTAGTAAGGGCACTAAAGGCATATGAAGGGCTCTGCTAGGGATTCAATCCCAGACCAAGGGCGATTGAGAAGGAATTGAGGGTGGTCAGACCGCACAGCGCTATATGGACGCACCTCACAGAGCGAGATGGGAAGGAGCACATTTGCAGCCCAACGGACACTGCTACCGAAAATCTCCAATCCCAGGTGCATGGATTCTACCTCTCCTACAGCACTCATAGGGACACTACTTGAAAAAGATATACTAAAGCTTTACATGACTGGAAAGAAGAGAATCCCAGTTCCAATAGGATATGTCTACCTTGATTGTCCTGACATATTAAATCTTAAAATTGCAACATGATTATATAGTGAAAATTTATTTTAAGTAACTTTTATTGGATTATTTTTTTTTTGGCTATGTCATTTCTTTTCCTCTGGGGACCATGCAGTTTGACTCAGAGCCACTTTTGAACTGATGGTGCAAACAGGACAGTGAACTAGGTTAAATATCTATATGGGCATTCCTCTTGTGTAGGGAAATGTAAACCTGCCAAAGATGGTGCTAGGACACCTGCTTCTGGCTTCCCCAAGGAGTAGCAGGCATTCTGTGCAAAGGAAGAATGAGGCAAATCACTTTTTGCTCCAACGGAATGACCTGAGGGCAACTCTAACTTTTACCCTTGGCTGAGCAGGCCTCCACTGATCCAGTAGCACAGGATCAGGGGCTGAAGGTGCAGAGGTATAAATGAGGTGGACAGACAATTATTAACATTTTATTTTTCTCTGGTGCTCCAAGTGTAGCTCAGGCACTTCAGATGTTCTGGCCCATTCTAGCTAAGGTACCTGATTTTAGAAATCGAAGGAGATGGAAAAAGTAATATTTTAAGAACCTTTTAAAACACTTATAAAATACTTTTTTAAAATAGGTGGCTGGTGCAGACTGTGTGATAATACGGTTGGTTATAAAGATTTCATTGGCACTCATTTGGCATGGCCTCCATAACTCACTCATGACACTGTCACCCTAAGTAATGTGACCATGCCAAACTCATACTACAGAAATCTTTATTATCCATTCCATCATCTTAGATTTCCTATTTAATTAATCAGAATATTTGCTTTATGCAGTATAACTGGCTATAGGGGTATCCCTGCAGTGTGATCACATTGTGAGCTGATCTGGCTGCATTAAAATAACTTTATAATGAGCATCATTATAAATATTATTTAAATACACTACATCTTTTAAGTTTAAAATCCACCTCCTTATAAACCATATTAACAAAGGAACTGTTTATTTTCCTGTCCCTTTAAAACTCAATTTCACTACCATTATGGAACATAGATAAATATCAATGCTTTTTTCACCCAACAATATCACTGTTCTTTATAAATTGTTCCCTTTCTGATTTAAGAGATTTGCTATCCACCTTCATCATGGTTCCACTAATTCATCCTGGCCTAGGTAGTATCGTGTCCTCTTAGGCAAGCCCTACTACAGAGGTTCTGGATACTTCTCTGATCTTCCACTGATTCCTAAAGCATAGGCTTTTATTAATATTTATGGACTGTCCAGTGAGACTACTTGTTTTTTAGGGAAGATAGTCTTGATGAATAATCATTGTTCATCTGTGTAATAATTCACATGCCTTGTCTCTGAAGTTCAAGTGAAGAATTGAGGGTTCAATAGCAGAGGCAGTGTTAGCCTGAGGGAGTTTATTGACTTAAAAGATACAGACAGCTCCCATTTAAAACTGAACTTATCCCCATGAAACCTAATTTTACTAATGCATCTGAGGTCAGATCACATGTATTTGAAAAGTTTGCATTTATAGGTTTCTCCTGACAGCTCCGGATAAGTTCCTAGGTGAGAAAGCTATAGGTTGCATAAAGTGTATATACAAAATGACAATGCTCAACATAATCATTTTTAATATCTTACCCAGCATTTTATTTTTTTCCCTTTCAAACATTTTATTTCCTTTATTTACTGCTCCAGTTAATTTATGTCTTGCATTGTTAAATTTAAGGTTGATTCTATTGGTGTGTCAACAGCATAACTCCATAGAGGTTTAGAAAAAACGAATGTTGCTGTTTATTAGTAGAACACCCTTTTAGAAATAAAAAAAAATGTGTCTAGATAGTACTATAGCGAAGGGAAATACTACAGACAATATTAATTATAATGCTTTTAAAAACTGAATGCAGTTCTGTGGAAAAATCCTCTCCTATTTATAATATTTTAAACAAACTGTTATTTTTAAAGCTGAAGACAAAATGTGCCTGTGTAACAATCAGTTACAATATTTATGTCTGCACCTCATGCATCATGATGGCACTTCAGGATCTGAAACTTCCAGAAACTGTCTTGCGTAGTGACTGTCCAGTTTGGCCAATGTACATAGCAGAGGGGCATTGCTGGCATATGATGGCATATATAACATTGGTGGATGTGCAAGTGAATGAGCCGGTGATGTTGTAGCTGATCTGGTTAGGTCCTGTGATGGTGTTGCTGGTGTAGATATGTGGGCAGAGTTGGCATCGAGGTTTCTTGCATGGGTTGGTTCCTGAGTTAGAGTTGTCATGGTGCGGTGCATAGTTGCTGGTGAGAATATGCTTAAGGTTGGCGGGTTGTCTGTGGGCGAGGACTGGCCTGCCTCCCAAGGTCTGTGAAAGTGAGGGATCATTGCCCAGTATGGGTTGTAGATCACTGATGATGCGTTGGAGAGGTTTAAGCTGAGGACTGCTATGTACATTGGCCAAACTGGACAGTCACTATGCAAGAGGATAAATGGACACAAGTCAGATATCAGGAATGGCAATATACAAAAACCTGTAGGAGAACACTTCAACCTCCCTGGCCACACAATAGCAGATGTAAAGGTAACCATTTTACAGCAAAAAAATTTCAGGACCAGACTCCAAAGAGAAACTGCTGAGCTCCAGTTCATTTGCAAATTTGACACCATCAGATCAGGATTAAACAAAGACTGTGAATTGCTATCCAACTACAGAAGCAGTTTCTCCTCCCTTGGTGTTCACACCTCAACTGCTAGCAGAGCACCTCACCCTCCCTGATTGAACTAACCTCATTATCACCATACTGATTTATACCTGCCTCTGGAAATTTCCATTACTTGCATCTGAAGAAGTGAGGTTTTTACCCACGAAAGCTTATGCTCCAATACTTCTGTTACCTTTTTACTGTAGGAGAATTATAGTATGTGTATAATTGCTCTGGACCTGCACTGCCTTCACCCACCATGCCCCAAAATACTGTCATCACCCTACCTTGCAGGAAGGTCCTACTGAGCTGGTGACATGATCTGAACCAAAATTATCCAAGTGAATCTCTGTGACCTACAGTTTTTACATCTATCTGGTTGTCAATAATTGCTTTTGTTTGTATGACATATCATCCTGGAACATTGAATATTTAGGGCTTGATTTTCCTCTTACCAGTTTCACACCATTGACTTCAGCAGATTCTGTTCACTGACAGTGGTGAGTGTGAGTGGATAATCAGACCTGTAATCTTTACCAGTTCCAGTTGTGTGGCAATCTTGATCTTTAACTGAAAGACATTCCATAAGGTACAATATTTTCTTACATACAAATGCAACTTAGCAAGACATAAAAATAATTTACTTTTACACACAGCCTTTTATCCAGAAGTAACCTGAAGTGCCTTATAAATTTCAACGACATATATTGATTGTATTAAGGGATTACTTCACATCCCAGTGGAATGCAGCAGGGTGGAGACAAATGTTTAACAGTGCATGGTGAACAGAGCAGTTAAGAAGTGAAGAAGTAGACTGTGTCTCATTTGAAATTCAGGTTAGCAAGGTGTAATTAACCCAATTAAAATTTTGCTGGAAAGCACCTTGTGACTGAGTCTCCTTTTGCACCAATGTAAATGAAAACTATTTCTAATGAAGATACACAGGTGTAATACTGGTGGAAGACAGTGGAGAATCAGGCTAGCAGTCTCTGGAATAGAAGTGCTGTGGAAACGTTAATAGTTACAAGTGGTCAGGCAATCAGTTTTTCATCTCATCCAAAAGACAGTGTTTTGGCAACACAGTTAGTGTCCCCCCCTGGAAGAATGCTATCTAATGTAGCACCCAGAAAACTTCTTGTAGTAGGTTCTGTACATGTTTCCTGGCCTCCTGTCCAACTACTTATTAGCCCAACACCTGCTTATCTTTTGCAATCTGAGATCGTAGCATAAAGAGGGAAAGCTGCAAGAGACAGTAGTGTGTTTTTGTTAAAATATTTTTAAAAGTGTGGTGTGTGATGGCTAATAATTAGATCAGTAGACCAAAAGGTAGAGACAATTGTTCTCTTTATAAACCAAGGCGTACATTTTTCCTGCACAAGGTTAGTCTACACATACTCTCTGATTTGACCATGAACTAGAGGTGAAGATGATTTACGGCATGGCTACAAAGCAGCCCAATACGCTCTAACTCATGACACTGGCAAGGCATATAGAGCACTCTGACTCCGCGGCTAGAGCGCTCCCTGGTAACCCACCTCAGTGAGTGGAATAATGTTTGATGAGCCCCCGCTGGAGCACCACAGCACCAGTGTGGACGCCCTGTTAATGCACTCTGATCAGCCTCCAGAAGTATCCCACAATGCCTGTTCTAGCCACTCTGGTCATCAGTTTGAACTCTACTGCCCTGCCCTCAGGTGACCAACCATCAGACCCGCCCTTTAAATTCTCTGGGAAT